ATGGTAGATGTGTGTTTTCTTTTTACAAAACCTCCAAAACAACATATCTCCTCCTTTTGATAATTTACTGCAATCGATTGAGTTATCTCAGGTTGGCTCGACTACACTGCGGCTGGTTTGCGTGGGATGCAAGGGAGATTGGCCTTACTTGAGGAAGGATTCATGGCAAACATTTGGTCATGAATTTGCTTCCCCAAAACCCGTGATCTTGTTGAGGCCTGGTGATTTAGGGTGCGATGAACTTATAGTTAGCTTGAGCCGGGGATTTGACTCCTATTTGTTCTGGTGTGGCCTGGTTCATGCTCAGGCTTTCCACTTGAATTGTGGGTTCAATTGCCTTGAAAAGTGCCATTTGTGCGACGCCACCAATTGGGAAGACATGTCTATGCAGGCCCCATGGAGGCACACCATTGGACCGAGAAGGACCAATTCGCCATATTGGGTTGACCCTGGTGACATCCCTTTGCTCCAAATACCTGGCATGGGGCAGGAATCCATCTTGCCAGATTCCTGTCATTGCTTCCACCTAGGGTGGGGGATTGACTTGGCAGCGTCTGGCCTCATGGTTTTGGTCAGGCGTCAATGCTTTGAAGGTCGATCACTTGAAATACGATTGCAAATGGCATACAGGTCTTTCACCCGGTGGTGTCATGAGAACAAAAAAAACGACTGGAGTTTCTTGGTGGTCGACCAAAAAGCTTGACATGCAATCGGCCCTTTGCTTTGCAGAACCTAACATTTTGAGATCAATGGTTTAGTGGATTCTAGTGGAGTTAATGGGGGTCATTTTAAATATTGTGCATCCAATTTAAACTTGCTCGCCACAGCCCAGGCAGAATGATTGGCCAACCTCGCTGGGATCGTGCAACTCCAAAGCGTACGACACGGCCTTGGTGCTCCAGTGGATGGAGGATTTCTTGCAGGGATATGAATCTGAATCTGAATTCTTTTTGAACGTTATTGAGGTTTATGTGTGTAGGGGGTTGACGATAAACCATACCATGGACCATGACAAATGGGTATGCCGGATATGATTGTTTTCCCTTTTCGGGCAGGGGGAACCCTCAATATGGAGTGATCCATTCGCAAAAGATGCAGTTTGTTGGGCATAAGGATTGTAGCCATGATGATTTTCTACAAGGACTGAAGTATGCAGTGGCCACAAGCAACCTTTTCTTCAGAACTTTGAGGGCATGCGGCATCTTCATCATGGATCCGATGAAGTCCATACTCTACCATGCCGGTCAGGAGATGTATGTCTCTTGGATTATCTTTTCATTTGTGTGAGGAATTTGCCAAAAGAAGGCGACCCATTTTATTATGTGGGATGTTGCCTTTGGGGGACTAGAGCTGATGTCGGTTTTCGCGGTGTTACACCCATATTCAGGAAGCCTATGGGCACATGGCTGCCAAGTGTTTCGCTGAGGGGCTAAAGCTATTCAGACTGCGGCCCAAGATTCATTTCCAACAGCATTTGACATTGCTGATGGGGGCTGAGTCATCTCCAGTGGCTTTTTCAGCTCTGAGTGGCTGGGCTGGACTCCTTAGATCTTTTGGGGTTGAAGTTTGCACGGTACATGCTTTAAGGGGTTTGGATCTTAAGGGTCTTTTGGTACTTGACCCAAGCAACTAAGATTTCAGCTGTTGGGCGGATGAAGACTACATTGGAAAGATATCTCGGATAAGCAGAAGCTGCCACCCTTTGCTGTCATCCTACAGATGTATACAGAAGGCCCTTGGCCTTTATCGATACCAGTTCAACCGCCTCAAGCCTGAAGGTGGTTAAAACACCATCGATGCCATCGATCTTGGCAACCGGACCAGTTGTTGGAGAAAGCATCGCCGGATGATGTCGTCGAAGTGGTAGAGCAGGGCAAGGGAGTGGAAAGTCGGTGAAGGGCAGGGATCCCAACCAATTTTCAACCAAAACGTCCAGTTTTGGAGATAGCGACCAGAAAAGGTAGATCACTTGGGGTCGCCCACTTTTTATTAGACTTTTGATGCTCTAGGTATTAATATTCCAGATCTTTAAAAGAAATCATTTGAACAAAAATATTTTAAATATATTTATTTAATATAAAAAATCCAGAATTTCCAGAAATAAAGAATATATTTCTTAATTTAAAAATATTTTATTATAGAAAGAATCATTCCAGAGATTTAGAAGAAAACCTTTGGCATAGAAATATTTATATAAATATTCTTAATATAAATATATTAATTCCAAATATTAATTAAATAAACCTATCTATTTATTTAAAAGATTATTGTTTAGCCTAATTCCCAATATTCCCGAAACAATAAAATATATAAATCTATATCAATATATTTTAAATTCATACCCCCAACAATATCCATTCTCTAAATTTATTTACAAAATCAAAAATATGCAATTTAATCCCTATAATAATTATATCAAATATTTATTATATCTTAATTTAATGAATTTATTTTTCTTTTGCAACAAAATTACCCTTCTCTCATCCAATTATATTATAAAATTCTCCCCTATTTTTTTCTATCATCACAAAAAAAATTAATTCAAAACCAATTAAACATTATATAAATATTAATAAATTATATAATTATATATATCAAATAATTTAACAAAATCCTAAAGATAACAAAAAACATATTTTCATAATCTATCATTCTATATTTTAAATATATATGCATATATAATTTACGAATTCTTTGCTATATATATTCATTCATTCCTCCATCGATCAATATTTATTTTATTCGTCCGTATTAAATCCCATAATGTACGAAACTTGAGGCCGAGGGTAGGTGACGAAAGCTAGCAGGGGTGCATCCGGACTGGTGGGACATCAAGCGGAGTGAGGCAAATGCTCATGAGGTAAAACGTTGTGAACATGTAAGACACACAAACAGCAATGACACAGCCAACCTTAGAATTGAAGTCCCCGATAATTAAGGAAGCGTGGCTGGACTTTGCTACACTGTTCGATGCATCCGATGTGTTCACGAACCTGTGAGCTTGTTGAATCTGTTGCACCGTATCCCAAAACCTCCACGGAGGAGTTGAACCAGTGTGGATGCCATAAGAGGTGCCCAAGAGGTGTCCCAGAGGCAAAACAAAGCTGCTTGCATGATTTGTTTGGTTTCTTCTATCGATGTCGATGTCATGAACATGTGAGCTTGTTGAATCTGTTGCACCGTATCCCGGAGGAGTTAAGCCAAAGTGGATGAAGTTTTCACGTGATGCGGCGATCCCGAGGATTCCAGCCCCTCACTTGCTAAAGCAAGGACAACTCCAGCTAGCTGGTGCTAGCTTTCGTGATAATTCGAATATTTCAAGAGCCTCATTATAAGAAATAATCGCCCAAATACATAATTAATCCAATCTATCGATTTCAGCCATAAGAGATACATTTAATTCTTAAATGCATCATTGCGAATCAATATATATATATATGTATTTTTTTGTTGTCCCTCCTTTGATGTATTTTGATGTGGCAAAAAAATCTAATTCTTCTTCTTCTTTTCGAGTTTCTTTTTGTAGAAGGCCAATTCCTGTGGACGCAGGTGGTCGGTCTCATTCGCGATTTGTTGGATTCCAAATCTGTTGTAGGATAAATACATTTGTATAAATGCAAAGAAGAAGAGCAGGCTCGTCGCTGCAACAATTCACTCAATGGATCCTTTCTGTTCCCAAATATGCAACTAATCTACATAAACATGAATCAATATCTGGGTACATCGTTACCTTCCGGAATACTATTTTCCTCAACAAGCAGGTTGTCCAAATCGATGTTTGTTGGGGTATGGTCACCACTACATTCGCTGGATAAGAACCAGATGAGACCGCTTTGCACCCTAAATGCAGCAACCATAAATCATAGCGGCTCCGGATGGTGTAGAGTTTTTCACCAAAAGTATCGTCTTCACAAATCCAAACATGCCGTCAAGAAGTTGAGACATTAATATGTAAATTTCTGGTTTGATTTGGTGGATTTGCGGATCTTGACCATGAACCTTTTAGGGATCTTGATGGATTTTTTTCTTTTTCGGGTCTGTAGACCGCAACCGCCCCACCGGACGATCGAGCGAGATCGTCCTCGCCCTCCAGGACGTAGCCATCCGCGCGGCCGCACTGCCCCGGACGGGAGGCGATGCAGGCTAAGAGGCGGCCACTCTGGAACCTGGAGACGCTAGTAGGAGAAACAATCGAAGAGACAACGGCAGACGTGAGTTGATTCTGGGAGACGTGAGTTCACATGAGTCTTCTGAATTCTTGGTTTGGTGAGGTGGGTTGGGTGATGTTCGTTGGTCCGCAATCGGAGTTCCAGACCATCCACGTAACATGTTGCCCACGTTGACCCATAAAACCTCCATCAACATCACCCCAACAGATCGGAACATTGTTCCATCCAGTACAGGGATTGTGTGGGAGTGTTCACTATTTGTTGCTTTTTCTTGCGGGGGCCGAGGCGAACTCATGACCCCTTCAAGACCGGCTATTGCTGACCTAGTGACATACTTTCAGCCTCAACAAAAAGAGAACTAACTATTTGTTTGGGGGTTGACATCCAACTGACTCTCTACACTGACATACTTTTGAGCGAAGAAGGACATCCGTCGCGCCGACACGGAGATTTCATGCAAGAGACTGCTCCTCCAAGCCAATGTCCTTGGATGAGGCTCTGGGCTGGACAGCACATGAGGGTGAAGAATAGGAAGTGAGCTATTAGGCTATCACTATGTATGCATGGCTTTGCGGCATTGCGTGTTGATGAGATATCAGCCTGGAGTGGAGCGAAGACCATCCCAATTCTTCCGGACTAGGACCATCTGTTGCTTATGGTCACCATCCAAAGCTCCAGGATGACGATGGTAGTCTGAGGTCTTTCAACATGCACCCCCAAAGAAGTGTCAGGGACCTCAACAACTCGGACATGTGTTTCTTCCGTCTCGCTTCCAGGGCGTTTAGTCCCAGGAAGCGTCTTCGAGCAAAAGGGACCTTTCAACTGCACCTCTTAGGATATCTCAGGATCGACCAAGGATGGATTGAACAATAGCCTGACAGCCTGGAGGCGACAGACAGCAATGTGGAGGAGGAACAGGTTCCAAAATGGTGCCGAAGATGACCCTCAAACAGGGACTGGGACTGCTACATATTGGTTGAGATACTTTGAGACTCCAAGTCTGCTGGGGTGAGTAAATCCGACCCACGTCTCAGCCGCCAGCAACTTGCACCATGGCTCCAGCTTGGTCTTGGAGGCCCTGGCCTTCTGCTTGAAGATCACCTGACGACCAATATTCAGGTGTGGAAGAGAGATCCTCCAATGGGACCGTGGTTCCAAAGGAAGAGAACTTCCGAGGCCAATGGATCTTCCAACACCTGGTTTCAAAAAGACTCTCGCCTGGAAAACCAGATCTTCATCCCCGGATCCCGAGTACGGCGAGCTTGACCTGGTGGATTGGAGGCCATGGTGGCCATGAATTTGAAGCACCAGATCTGGGAGAGCCAAACCTCACAGCCTGGCCACCAGGGAGAGGAAATGACGACGTTTTTGAGAATTTCACGTGCCTCTCCAAGATGTCCAAAAAAAAAGGCACCCAGAAGAAGCCTTCTTGGATCCCGAAAAAGTAAAGTTCTCCAACCGGCTCCTCCACCTGCGAAGCCCTAGAGGCCCTCGAGGTGCCAAGTGCCAAGGACGAGGACTTTGGGACTTTGGATGAGCGATTGCAGATTCCAACGTGGTCAAGTCCTTCTGCTTGGTGTTTCTTTGCAACGACTTTTCTGTTTTGGCTTGACCATGCTTGACCTCTATGTCCCTAACATCCTCATCCCTTTCCCTGGAAAAGAGGGATTCACCATAATTCACCTGTTCTGGAGGGAAACGACAGGTTCTGTCAATACAGAACACACCTGGGGTATCCTTCCTGAATGCGACATGGAAGTGGACAAATGTTTGGCATTTGGAGTTGGTCTTTCCAGGGCTCAGGCCATCCACTTCCAGGATTCTTTCCGGAGGGTCGCCATGTTCGGAGTCGCGCGTCGCGGGGTTTGCGTCACCACTGCGCTCCATCCATCCCCTGCAGCCAGGTCACGTGGCGAGAACGCTTGGTCTCATCCTCAGCCTTCTCCTGCGAGTGAGACACGGTCACCCGTCACCCGGTCGGTAGGGTCAACAAACATCGCTTCACCCGTGATACTGTACGCTACCTGCGAAACAGGATCACGACAGAAACACCTTCATGTCGCATTGGCGCATGTACTGGCGCATCTCCTTTCAAGATTCTGAAACAGATGGGATCCCAGCTTTCAACCGACCTTTCAGATCAAGCTGCGACACACCCAAACAGCGAGGCAAACACGACCGGATGTTGTCCCTCACCGGGATACCACATCGGGAGGTGCTTTTTTGCATCACTCCAAGACCAGAGTCCGACCCAGAAGCATCTTACATAAGGACTCTGACCAGGAACTAATCATAAAACACATGTGGCTCAGAAGGCTGTTTCTCAAACAAAGAGGTCCAACAAACCGCTGGTGGTTGATGTTCCTGTCTATACAGCGGTCTTACTCTACTATGTCTTAAGTCTATAGGGGGCCACCTACTTGGTAGGGCCTTAGAGTTGAGGAAAGAATGGAATATATAGCGTTACATTTCTTAAAACATAGACATAAACAAAAGGCAATCTTGCGCTACAAGCAGTTGTGAAGTGCTTGCCATCTTTGTTGGATATTGCAGTAGTTAGAGAAACACTCAACCAAGTCTCCTCCTTCTGTGCACCCTTCTTCTTCTTGCCGACATCCATACCATATTTCCTGGAAGCTGCTCGGGTTCTGAATCTGTTTTTGACTCGACACTGCTTGCCAGCTTGGAGGTATGAAATGACTTGTAGACATGCCATTCAAGTCCCCATGCCTTACTACGTACATTCCATCTCTTCGCTCTTGTGCACGCATCCTTTTACATCATCACCCGATGGGTCGGACATGGTCAAGACATCACCCTGGTCACCAATCGGCTGTCTGAAAACCAATGGGATTTTCTGGGAGGTCTATTTTCGTTCTCTCACCAATCACTTACCCTCCCTGCAACGAAACATACTAGTGGACTTCACCGCCACCATCCGTTGGTCTGAACATGGTCTTTCCAGGGGCCATCCACGTTGGCCCATGAGCACGGAGGGAAGGTCGATGGCACAACGACTGCAAGGTTTCTGATAGATGGGGGTCCATCATTGCACCCAACTTGGGGAGGCTGGTGCAATCTACTCTCTAACATAGTTTCAACACATGTCAACGACCACTGTTCACACCACCCAACGACCACTGTCCCGAACAGCTGGATGGACCGAACCGCCGCGAGCGAGGATTCGAGCTCAGGCTCTTCAAGTACCACTGCATGAATGGATGGGCATCAATCTGCACGACGGTGTTCTTCAGCAGTGTCTTGGTACGGACCTGGGCCATGTTTTGAGGACAGAGAGGACAGCTCGCGTGGCACGGCCGCGGGCGTGGCGCGGAAAGAATGCGAAGACTGAAGTCCTGTGTATGGACACACGTTGCGCAGGAAGAACCAGTGGAGTTGACCATGTGCTCAAGAGGGCAATTAGCAGCTTAGCAAGCCTTCAACCCGATGGTGTTTTAGCTGCTGCAGCTGCTCCTTGAGGGGCCCAGCATGAAGGATTTGTAATCAATTTTTCAGGTTTGTGTTTGGAGATCTTTGGAGGTCATGAAACATGATTCACACGCGTCACCTGAATTGGTCAGAATCACATGACCAAGTGGTTTGCGGGCTGGATGAGGAAAACCATGGAACACCAACACTCACAGTAATCGATCGTCTTTTCAGTTTTCCGGTAAATCCCAGGTGCTGTAACAAACACGTTCCACAAACGTTTTCTATCGTTTTCTACCCTTCACCTGGTTGCGCTCTAACTCAGCTTTGGCCTTTCCGCTGCCCAAAGCTTCTTGCTTGGAGCTTTCTGGTGGTCCAACAGTGTCGCAAAGCCAGCAAGCACAAGCGGATTTCCTATTCACAGGAGAACCCATCACCATTGAATTGCCAATCTCGTACATCTCTCCGACCTCTTTTCCCCACTTGGAACCATATCGTATGACCCAGGTGACCGGCAACCTCTCCCTTCAAGCGGACCACGTCCGGGTTCTGCTTTTAGACACCACGTCCGACTCCTTCCGATGTACCGGTTCACCCTGTGGATCCGTGGATCAAACACTCCAAGTCACGAGCTCGTTGCTGGTGGCGTTGTAGACCACATCCAAGATCCTCACCTTCTTGGTCACATTCTCCTCAGCGAGGCTGCGAGGAAGAACAAAGGGCGCCGTTCGTTTTTGGTTGTTGCCCCGAGACCGCACAGATGTCCGTTTGGCCGCGTGAGAGGACACACACGGAGCTCTTTTGCTGTTCTTTTCTGGGAGATTCCTTGCGTCTATTCCATCACCAGGCCTTTCTCAAAGATAGTGATAATCTATGATAATCTTTCTACTGCCAATTGCTGGTCATGGGCCACACCCTATAGACCTTAGATACAGTCCCTGCGGCCGAGCATCAGAGCCCCAGGCATAGTTGCCGCTGTCCAAGCGCAAGGCACGGTACTTCCTGAGTGGGAGGAGCAGTGGAGCCGCCGCCGCTGGGCGAGCCGCAGGGCTAAGACGTTTGAGTCAGGTGGAATCCCATCGACGGTTGCTAATGCTTCTAGGGTATGCTGAAATACATAGACTCTAGGATCAAACTATACAGTGATCATTTTCCTGTATATATATATATATATTGGGTGTGTATTGGAAGGGGGGTACCTATATATATATATATATTGCCTTTTCTCTCGTTTTCTATTGCTGTTCCACATTCATCCTCTACTGGTTGGGATTACTACCGTGGATGCCCCACGGCGCCCTGGTGGCCAACCAAGGAATGGGAAGAAGCTACATCTGACCAAACCTATGACATGTCTCTCATGCCTCTCTAAATTCAATTCAATTCATATTAGTATGTAAAAAAACACATAAAATAACACATACAATAACGATTCTATAATATCTGTTCTATGATAGTCCATGATGTTTCGACCAAATCAGTCGGTCTCTCCTTTTGCCCGCGCCGTCGACCCCCTCCGCACCCCGGCCCAGGCACATGTTGCCGCCCCGGCAGCGCACGCGGCGCACACGCTTGGCGCCCAGCTTGCAGGGCGTGGCAGGGCGGCCCATCTCCTTGGAGTCTGGTGGGCAGTAGGATGTCTGAGTCGTGCATGAGACCGGCACCGGGGGGAGCGAGACCGGCTTCAGGTTGACATGTAATTCACAACCCCAAAACCCATATACATGGAAACACACATGTCATAGGGGTGCCGTTTTTGGAGGGATCACCAGATTTCAAGAGACATGTTGAGAACATGGTGCTCAAGGGCTCTCAGGTTCTCAGGTTTGAGGTGGTCCGTGGGGGTTCACATGTTTGCATTGTGCTTTCAAAGGCGGGTGGAGGGGTGATCAACCACTTTGTATGGCAGGACTGTCGATCAAAGGCTCCCCTCGTCGCCAAAGTACCAGGACTCTACAATCACATCCTAGATCCTACAATCCTAGATCTGAGGTGAATGATAGGAAATGAGGTGAATGATCAGATCTAGGGGGGATTCTAGGATTAATTTCTAGATCTGAGGTGAATGATAAGGGACCGATAAAATTGTTGAAAAAGAACTCAGATTAGCTGGCCAGTGATTTTCGGCCCCGTGGGGGGGCTCCTCAATTTGTAAGGGGACCCCATGATCCTCCGGGCGAAACGAAGAGGCACCGGACTGACTTGACCAAGGCCGCTAAGTCGGCCCAGACCATCATAGGTCGGCCCACGCATGTAGGGTGATAAATGGGGTACTGTAAAAGCTGTAAATGGATTTATATATCATATCCATATTAATCCACTACCAGTCATAGTCATTCACTGTGAATGATGATATGATGATGGTGAGCAGCTACGGCCCTTTCTCACAACTACATCGTGATAACTGATAATGATTTTTTGGACCTACCATTGTACCCAGTGTTACTGGTCATGGGCTACATGTAGCATGTGTATGTCGCATGGGACCTGGACCTGGTCCGGACCTGGTCCCGATGCGTCCGGGTCTGCGAAGGCTGGGGCCGACCTGTGTGGGGAGGCCTCCCTATTTAAGAGACACATCCTAAACGGACCCATAAAGGACCCTGGTACTGACCAAGCAGGTGTTGGTGAACTCGATCCTTTTCCGAAACCGGTTTCGAAAACGAGCCATAACTCCATAACTGACATGCCATAACTCCATGTCACCATGTCTTTCTCCCTTGCACACCTATCTGAACATGTCTATTGCGACCCCCAAACCAGTAGGTTCAAAGCAATTTGTTGCCCTTTCTTTCCCAGGAGGCTCAATGAGTTCAACTAGGTAGGTCTCCCTCCTTCAATAGCACCCATCTTCCAGGTCTCGTAGCACCTGGGCACTCCTTTTGAGGATCACACCGAATCCGGTCGACCTGTCAATGAACCCATCAAGCAGGGAATGGAACTCCTCTTGGAGGAGTCCCAATTTTCCGACTACTCCCAGGCATCAGCTGCCCATAGGGTGCCAGATTCATCAGGTTCACTTTACCTCTCAAGAGAGCCCAGAGAGGCACTGCCAGGCACGAGGCACTGCTTCTTTTGGTCTCCTCTCCCAGATTTTTTCCAGGCACACCCTCTCACCCAGAAGAGTCTTGCTGCGACAAGGCTCATACTTACGCTTCTTGATGGAAGTCTTGCTGCGACCGCCGGTCTTGTAGTGCTTGTGTCGGCTGTCGCGGCCGATGCCCATAGCGTCTTCGTCCGGGGTTCGAGCCGGGGTCGTCCGTCGGTCTTCGGGAGGGAAGCAACTTGAGCCTGGAGCGGCGATGAAGCCCGGTCTACAATAGACTCAATAGACAACTAATAGACATTGCACGGCTTTTTTTGGAGCTGACCACGAGTTTTCTCTCGGAGGACGATTGACTATCCAAAAGATTCTCAAAGTATCCACTGGTCATGTGAGCACTAATGGGAGACTGAAGCGATTGCTGAGCTGAACAATAACGATTCACATCACCGCTCAAGGACCAAGCTGAACTTCCACAAAACCCACTCCGAACGGAGGCAGCGGCTGTACTCGACAGGACATCTCAACAAAAACGCGGCTGGTCACAGCAGGGCGCCGCACTCAGCCGACAGATGTTTCACAGCTTCCCACTCTCTCCAACAGCCGAGATGGGAGGACACTGGTGAACGCCCGGTCGATAACGTCTGATCCAGTGAACCCTGGTCCAACTGACATCCTTAAGCAGTGTTTTGAGGTCATTGACCGGGCATGGTTGGAGCCCAATGAGCCGGCATGAGCCGATCTGAGTCAAATTAAATGCTGAAGAAGACAGGGCTGAAGCAACCTGAAGTCTGTGGGCCTCCCCTGCAGGCTACCCGAGATGATGTGTCCAGCTCCCGGCCGTGACACGGCGGGACAACCTTCATAGATGTTGGCATGGACAATCACAAGACGCCCAGTGAGCACAACGTAGCCCATGGTCTCACTGTCATCCACTTGGCACCAAGTGGGTTGGCCTCAAACGCCCTCGATCAGAGGACATCGGCACTATAGTATTCTAGCGCCTGTCCAGCTGGATCCTCAGGTAGCGCCCCACACCCGGCCAGCGGTGTGACAAGTGCTCGTGTTGGAACTATGTCCCAAGGTGCTAAAGCACTTGCTGGGTAGGGCGGAGAAGCACCAAAGCAGGTGGACAGCAATGCAACAACGGCAGCAGTATCAAACGACTGGCGTCGCTTTCAGACCTCAAGGATGAGGTCTGCGCTTGCTATCTCTTGCGACGTAACTACCAGGACATGACCCGAACAAAAAACGTTTCCGACGGTAGCACCCATTGTCCGACGTACCAACGGAGGGTTCTTTAGGGTCTGCCACGTCGGTTTTATTGGCATCGTCAGACTGTGCAACGAGACGCTTGTCGTCATGACGAGAAGTCAGTGAGGAACGGATGCAAGTTGAGCACCAATAATGTCCAAACGAGTCGTGCGTGCATCCAAACACACATATCATATTCATTGTATATATATATATATATTGATCCATGAAAACAAAGGGAGCTCCCTCGCACCCACCGTGAAGGGATGGGTAAGATTCGACTGAAGACATCCAGGCAGAACACAAGGTCTCCATCTCTCCATCTTGCTGATACCCAAAGACGTGCGCCGAAAAAAAAAAACAAAAAAACGACTCGAGACTCGAGTCAGTTGGTCTCCGTCGTCCAACGAGGTACCCCCCACATTCCAACCATGCACATGTCCGTTGGATCCTCCGCACTGGAGGGGGCGAGGACGCGACGGAGCATTCGCGACGGGGTTCGAACCCCAAGCAAACCCGGACAGATCCACCTGCAAGGTCAAATGAAACCAGTCGGAATTGATCTCATCCACAACTCACTGAACCATTGTCCATCCGAAACCTGATCCAAGCAACGCTGCATGGTTTTCCCACTACACCAAGAGTTCATGAGTCCGTCGATGCGTAAATCCGCGCTGCTCAGAACTTCATCTCATGAGGGAAGGTCCTTGCGGACAAAGAGAAGCGAGACTTCAAGTAGCTCTTCATGTCCTGAACCAGGCAAAGGCTGCAGAAAAAAAGCTTGGCTTGAGACAAATGCTCTACAATTGCATCAGCACATATCAGCACACATGGCCTTGAAAGAGGATGCAAAAGCATGCAAAAGCCATGATCTGCCATGCGCATGAAAGAAACAAAAGAGTCTCATATCCCATTCATAATGAGTGCAGTCCTCAGCCAAGCCCTTGACGATGGGCTCATCCAACTTCTTCTGGCCATCCTTCTTCTCCTGTGGCAGCACCTTCTTGGGTGCCTCAGTGGCGAAGAACTTCTCCTGGGTCTGGGCCCCCTTCTTGGCCTTCTCCCGTGCGAAGTAGGCATCTGAGATGGACTTGAAGTCGGCTCCACCAAGGTTGACCTTGGTGCTGGTGGCAATGCAATAGCGCTGGTTGACGCGCTTCACAGGCACACCGTTGAGCGAATAGGGCCCGGTGACCAAAAGCAGGCCGCTCTCCAGCTGCTTCAAGAAAACTACTCGGCGACCACGGAACTTGCTGGCGAGCAGGATGAGCACTTGACCTGGCTGGATGTTCTTGCGCAACTTTGGGGTCTTCTTCTCCCCTGTCTTCTTCACCTTCACTGTCTTCTTGTTGCAGATCTTCTTCTGCTTGCTGCGCTGCTGACCGGCCTGACCCATGGCTTCTTGGCTTGTGTAGGTGGGGTTCCACGTCCCTTGAGCCATGTCCGCGCGAGCCGCAAACCAATCTGAGAAAGAATTTAACAGGTGCAAAGCATTGATTGGTCATTCTGTACATCGATTGTCCCATTGGTAGGATGGTTTGAGATTAGGAATAGTTCTCGAGTATGCTGCGAAGGACGATGAAGGATTCTTTCCATCAACTGTGCCACATCAAAGTGCATCTGTACTTGCTGGCCTGATACGTATTCCTAAAGTATTCTAAAACCAGCGAACAGAAAACATACAGTACACTTCAGGTCTTCCATCGCCAACATTTTTCTTCTCCTGCGCCACTGCCTCAAAGGTCTCTTAATCCGCGGGGACATGCTCAGAACTTCATCTCGTGAGGGAAGGTCCTTGCGGACAAAGAGAAGCGAGACTTCAAGTAGCTCTTCATGTCCTGAAACCGGCAAAGGAGGCAAACAAACAAAACAAAAAGCTTGGCTTGCAACAAATGCTCTACAATTGATTACAATTGCATCAGCACACATGGCCTTGAAAGAGGATGCAAAAGCATGCAAAAGCCATGATCTGCCATGCGCATGAAAGAAACAAAAGAGTCTCATATCATATCCCACTCACAATGTGCAGTCCTCAGCCAAGCCCTTGACGATGACCTCGTCCAACTTCTTCTGGCCGTCCTTCTTCTCCTGTGGCAGCACCTTCTTGGGTGCCTCAGTGGCGAAGAGCTTCTCCTGGGTCTGGGCCCCCTTCTTGGCCTTCTCCCGTGCGAAGTAGGTATCTGAGATGGACTTGAAGTCGGCTCCACCAAGGTTGACCTTGGTGCTGGTGGCAATGCAATAGCGCTGGTTGACGCGCTTCAAAGGCACTCCGTTGAGCGAATAGGGCCCGGTGACCAAAAGCAGGCCGCTCTCCAGCTGCTTCAAGAAAACTACTCGGCGACCGCGGAACTTGCTGGCGAGCAGGATGAGCACTTGACCTGGCTGGATGTTCTTGCGCAACTTTGGGGTCTTTTTCTCCCCTGTCTTCTTCACCTTCACTGTCTTCTTGTTGCAGATCTTCTTCTGCTTGCTGCGCTGCTGACCGGCCTGACCCATGGCTTCTGTCTCTGTCCTTTGTCTTTGGCAGTGACTATGTCCCTTAGACCGTGGAGGGCGAAGATGAAGCACTGGGTAAAAGCACAACTTCCACGTACCCTTGTAAAAGGGTTTGGGCAATATGGTCTTGGGTCACTGGGAAGACGTTAAGTGTTCACCAGCTGTAGAGGGTGCCATGAAATTGAAAAGTACCCAAAAAGGGTCGGGTGACGACTGATCCCTTCATTCCGATGAGCGCCATCCAAATCCCTCCGAAAGCACTGTCTAGTCTGGTCATGAATCTGCTCAGTTGGAGGGGGTCTCCAAAAGCAAACATCGTAAACCCATACCTGATAAGATTGACAGGTCTCTTTGGAATCCTCAAGTCTCACAGATCAAGCCTGAACAAAGCTGCCTTCTCCAGTCAACACCCATCAAAACACAGCTAAACTTGGGCTGTTTCTATTGCTGGACACGCCTTTAGTTTGGCACCGAGGCTGGCTGGGTGGCTTCGCGGGCAGAAAGAAACCACAAGCGTATGGTTTTTTTTGGGGGCGAATCTTTAAGAGACTTCTGCAACAACAACTGGAGATGAACAAGCAACCATGGCTTTTCTTCAACAAGAAAATCTTTGGATGAAGCTCATTTTTTAGATTCATTGGGCCCAATTGGACACTGCTGGCAGGCCATCCGAGCTGCATTTCTTGACTTCTCCAAGTTCACACACACACACATCGAACTCCCCAAAAAGCCACCCCATCAAGTAGCACATCAAATCCTTTTTACTCTCGCTGGCGACGGACCGACTGTCCAATGGGCGATGCTCCCAGCGGGTGTTCTCTGGATCGCCAGAAGGTGTTTGGATCGGTCACAAGTCTGAATCCAATGAAATGAGACACTTAGTTAGACGAATGACATCTAATGACATCTAATGGACCCTGAAAACCACTGGTTAGGTAGGGGAAAGGAAACCATCTTCCAGGGAGCCATGTTAGTTTTCGGTCCATGTTAGGTTTCGGAAGGGGATTTTGTTAAAGTGGTGGTAATCTACCTCAAACACCTATTGTGGAGTAAAAGAACATCTTGCCAATCACTGGCAAGCCATCCATGTTGGTTCAGGAACTAGTCGGAACTAGTATCGCTTGAATGGGTTTCCCGGCTTCCAATTGGTCGTTTCTCTCTCGTTTTCATCACATGTCATGCTCAGCCTCAGCCTCATCACGTACCCAGACTTAGACGGTGTCCTTCCGGGGTGTCCGGTTCGGTGTCCTTGCTCCTGGCCCACCTCCTGAGAAGATGGTTGGGGTGGGTGCCAGGGGGGGTCTAACCATCTTCTGAGGAGATGGTTGGAGCCCTAGGGATCCTTCGGCCTGCCCCAGACTCCGACGACGAGGTCACTAGAGTCACTAGAGGATCATCTGTGAGCAAGCAGTGACCATGCAACCAACCAAGCGGACGGGCACCCCTCACCTTTCAGACCGCTTGGCTTCGCCAAGCAGCGCCTAATTTGGACTGCGCGGCTGGCTGACCCGCGCTGACGGAAGAGGGCTTCGTTTTCGCTGGGAGGTCCAGTGGAGATGGGTCCAGGGTCTGGCGCCATCTGGTTGGGTGAGAGGCTCCGGTGGAGGCTGGTTGGGAAGTCCGAACATCAAAAGAAATCCACCAAAAGAACTCGCACTGGGAGGGGACTTTCTTACCCATCTTCGAACTATCGTGATGGATCGGACGTCGGTCACCTCATACGCCGACCACTTCGGCCCCGAAAACGAACGATGTCAATGGGACAATTCAAAGAGCAATTAAATAGGAAAACACCGAGTGATGCGTGGATGCGTGGATTTTGGGGTTCAGTGGACCGTCGGAAATATGTCTAGTGAAACGATTCTAGTCCGTCAGCTTGAAACTTTCAGGTTGGATGCAAAGCCCGTCTACGGCCCTACTGTTGATGTACGAAAGAGTGCACCATCTGAGATGATACGTTATATTATGTATATATATATACACTTACACGGAATATCCACGACTTGCAAATATCACAGGTGGTGTAGGGTATGTTCACCTGAACCTGCAATAGGAACCTCCATCCCCATGTGAAACACATTGAAATCGAATCACGATGGTCCTGCGTGGTGCAGCATGCTGCCCAGAGAGTAAGGTGTGAGAAACCAGGTCGCGGCTGTAGAGATGAACCCACCAAGCCATGCGGGTTCACACAAAAAGGGAGGGGTGATATGGAGTCATTCACTTACATATGATATATATAATATATATGGTATATATGGAACAACATTGGTAGAATACCTACTTAGATGAGCCTGTAAGCCTCTAATACTCTAAGTGGGAAGCGCACCCGTGCGGAAAGAGATGTGGACGTGGAAAGGCGCTCGCCAGCCCCCGCAAAGACTCGATGTGAGTGAAACTGGAAAAGCTCAAGTCGAAAGAGCCTCCGGTGGCACGGCGTGCGGGCGGTGTTGGGGTCGTGCGTTGGGAAGGGTTGGGGGTGAAGCCGAACGAAGCCAAACGGGGATGGATTGTCAAGGAATTCACAAACAATCCATGTATTGGAATACAAACATAAGTATAAGTATATAAGAGTATTGTGTGATATTATATACAGCATAATCAGCATACCCTGCAGCATATACAATAAATTATGCCAGCACCACTGCCAGCACCCTCCATACGGGGTCACCAACGCAAGCCCCCACATGGATCTCAATGGATCTCCAAACAGGACACCCCTTTTGAAAGGTCCAGGATATATACCTAGGGCAAGCAACGCAAGTCCAACCCCCCAAAAATGCCTTGTGCCAAAGTGTGAGACACATATTCTTTGGGTCTATCCATGTCATCCAGGGCCCGGATGATGATGGTTCAGTTGCAGGCCTTGTTAAACAAATAGTGAGTTCGGATAGACTCAAGGTATGACACGTATTGACATATGAGGTCCTTGGTTGGCTGTTGAACGTTGCAAAGATCTACAAACACCTTGGCCCAATATGTTGAAATACCTGTACAGTAACTACCTCCATCTCCTGAACTACAACGTTTTCTTCAACAGAAGAAGGGAACCACAAACACTCCCTAAATGACCCCGTGACGTGGCTTGCCGCTGCCCAGGCTGGCCAAATCCTTGTGGTTCATGACACCAGGAGACCGACCGGTTCACCTACCCACACGTTGGCTCCACCCACATGGTGGACGGGTCGGGCGTCGTGATAACAACGCCAACGGCACCGTAGACCGCCGGGCCTTTGGAGCCGTTCCGCTGAGGAATGCGTCCAACAGCTGGGCGAAGGAGTCTTTGTCGTTCACCGCCTGGACAGGGCGTTCTGGAGAAGTGGCAGCGGGTTGCGTGCTGAATCCTTCCACCAGAAGCCCGCAGCCCAGAGGCCACCCAACCACATGGGACACAATTAAAGGCGATGTTGTAGCCATGTCTTCATGTCATGTCTTGATCGATTTCGATAATATATAATATATAGTTGTTTTTCTAGATATTTTTAGATTACTGCACATTAGTTAATGCAAATTACAGATTGTCCCAGTTGCTTCACAGCAGGATTGTTGTTCAGATCACCTTGGTGAAAGAGCAAGGATCTTCAGGCCACTCATAGAGGTGATCAAATGTCCATAGCAAAGCAGGTGGAAGAATCCGAGGCCACCTCCACCCGAACACATCAGGATCTATGGAACTGAAGATGTTGATACCACCTGTTGATGCCACCTGCTCAACAGGAAAAAAACAGCTCACACAACACATCCAACGCGTGTCAGGTGCATCCTACAGGCGTTATTTTCAGAAAATGCAAGACGAACCTTAAAGGGCTGAAATCAAACAAAAACCTGGGACGTGTCCTGGCTGCACTACCCAGACCACTACTTAATTAGGGATCTCCAGACAGGATGGTCCAGGTAGGTGTGCTTCATGTTTCTTCCATCAGTGCATGATCTATTGGATCGACTAAACCCTGACTCAAAATAACTTTCCACGTCTGAAAATGACTGGGATATGATGTATCCTTCTCGTCCTTTAGTCTGCTTTGTTATCTCCCAACAGTCCTTCCAGTGGAGCAGAAGATGGTCACCCCAACTGGGTCTCCCTCACTGGCTCCAGGCAGAAGATGGTCACCGGGCTCGCGACGCCCATGCCTCGGGGTTCCGGACCAAGTGATGCGGTCCGGTGACGGGCACGGGACGTCGCGCCCCGGGACCATGGAGGGGAAGAACTTGATGCGGAATCATTGCTGGTGTTCATTCTTAGAATAGACAAACACGTTGTGGAAACATTTAACACTAAACTGACAAGCACAGTTATGCGACCATATGCGACCTCTAAGACACTGGCAGCGGTTTGAGGCGGTTTGTGGGTGACCATCTGCATACCCTGGAAAGCTGGCACCATAAGTTGATTTGATGCCAGGAGATAGCAGGACGGGGTGGCATGCGTTTGTTGTGAAAGAAATGGTTCGAGGATCTTCGGGGCACACCCGACCCGACCAGGCAGACCACACCGACCAGGGGGTTCAACACCAGCACCCTACAGTTACGTATACGGGGATCTCCATGCTCCTTGGCAGGTCAACGCGTTGGTTTCCTCCAAATGCTATTCCAAGATCCGGGGCACTCCGACTGCTGCGAACTGCCGCGACGGCTTTGTGTGGCACAACCCGTGCACCATGACATGATAGAAATACGAACGAACGATATACGATAAGACAGGTGAAAAACAAGCGTTGAAGGAATTCACCAAAGGCAGATCATATCCCGCTATTTACAGCTTTTGCTATATCCCAGCTGGTGCACGATTTGTTCAATCAAAGTATATCGGATAATTAATGCGCAGCGCTTGTGTCATATGCATGAAATCTGCTGGGACCTCCCACGCACGAAAAGGCTTCCATGACGCTCTCTTTTAGCTGCATCAGTTCCGAATTCCAAACTTTCAAGCATCCGCTACCAGCGTTGCTTCGACTCCTTCTGGTCTGAACTTGTCACAAACCACCGCGATAAGGTACAATGCAACGTATTCGACCAAAAGCCACAGCTGCCAAGACGAGGACCACTTTGCATCCACAAATGAAATGGATTGGATGAATGGGATACTTATCGCAAGAAAAGGCACCATCATGTACGTGGAAACCGCATGGCTCGACTGGCTGCCACAAGCAGAAAGCGAAGGATCAGAGTCATGCACCACACACAAATACCATGCTGCAAGAAAGACCAACATGAAAAAATGAAATCGAAACTCTATTTGATGTAATGCCTCCTCACCGGACATCAATGCAAAATGACCACTGTGCGCCAGAACTAGGGACAAAGAACAAACAAGGCCCCACAAGAAGACTGTCCGTCTGCGTGTCTGATCGCTGGACCTGTCACATAGGTTGGCGATGACCGCAAATCCATGATTGTTCACAGAAGCGGCTGCAATCGCTAATACCCAGCTGACGGCAGCAGCAACCCAGTCCTGCTCTTTGACGACTTCACCGAAGCCAAGTACACAGAAACAGGAAGCTCCCCAACCACCGAACGCATACTTGGCCATCGCCCACCACACTCCACGCAAGCGCGTCATGAAAGTTGAGCCGCATCGAGCATTCGTGGAATGTTGAGCTTGGCCATTTTGGCACGTCATTGCCAATGCTAAGAATGAGAGAGCAGGTGGCATAGCAAGGCGAGTGGCATATTGTTTATGGACAACGCCCAGAATCCACAAGAAGAGGAGCAGGGCATGAATGAAGAAAGCAACCAAAGACATGATGGGCAACCAATAGAACCTCAAGATCTCAAAATCTGAGGGGACAAATTCAACATCGCTGCTGCAGTTGGACGTTTCATCGTTGTCTTCCTTGGCCAATGTATCGCTTGACCCAAGCCGGTCAGTAGATCCCAAAAGCACTGGCAAATCCGAAGGGAGATCACCTGACTGGCTGGTGATCGACAGCAACGTTGCTGGATCAAGTGAACGAAGCAACATTAACATGAACAAAATCTATACGCTGCTACATGGCCTCCTACAGGAGGGTCTACCCGTCCAAAGGCCGAGACATAGCACGTAGTCACACAAAAATCAATCAATCAGGACATACTGTGGACACCTTTTGGTGAATTATGTGCATCTACCCCGCAGCTCACTCTTGCACCCTGTGTTGATGGGGTTTGTTTTGACTCTTCGATCCACGGCCTAGGATGGGCTCGCGGGTTCCTGGCCGCAGGGTTGAGCTGTTCAGAAAGAGTCATGTTGGCTTTGTCAGAAACTTGAGGCGACGGTGGTGGACGAAAGGTAGAGGCTGGAAGATTCTGAGCAGGAGCAAGCAGCCAGCAGCAAAGCAGCAGCAGCAAAGCAAAAAGGTAGCACCAGCACCAGCAACAGCAAACGAGCAGCAGCAGCAGCAGCCAGCAGCCAGCAACCAGCAATGGCAGCAGCAGTAGCAGCAACGAGCAGCAACGAGCAGCAACGAGCAGCAACGAGCAGCAGCAGCAGCAGCAGCAGCAGTAGCAACAACCACCAGGAGTAGCAGCAACCAGTGGGAGTAGCAGCAAGCAGCAGCTGCAGCAGCAACAAGCAACAAGCAGCAAGCAGTACAGCAAGCAGCAACCAGCAGCAAGCAGCAAGCAGCAACAAGCAGCAGCAGCCAGCAATAGACCACAAATAGACCACAGTCGATAAGCCAGATCACTCCTAAATTCTGAGCGGCGCACCCCCGACATTTAAAATTCCTATAACCGCCAACCACCCCTAATATCGTATTGCTAAAGCAAAGAGAACCCAGGTAGCTGAAGCTACCTTTCGTGACATGAAGTAAGAAACCGTTTTTCACCCTGCCTGGCCGCATATCCACCCACGGCCGCTGGCAACTCACACTTTTGGCCGCTGCTTTGAAGATCTCCGAGATTGGTAACTTGTAGGGCAAGAGTTGGAGCAGTGCTGCGGTGAGTGCGCCTGATGTTGGGGCCCAATTCTGGAAACGAGGCAAAGATTGCTGTGGTTGGGGTCAAACATATGTCAAATGAAAGGGGCAAACTTCAAAATATCTCAACATAAAGTAATAACGTGGACTCGACAGTCAGATGATGTGATGGTCTATTGGATCTATTGATTTCTAGATGCAATTTGCCAGCGCGTCGATGGTCTGGCATGGGGTATATCCCCAACAACAGGGGAGGGAATTGGATCCTTGGATATCGACGATCTCCGCTGATGCTCTACTTTCGTCAGACTCGTGTGAAGGAACTTGCCTTCGATTCCAAACAACCCATGGAAGCATTTTGGTCCAAAATTTTGGTGTTGAATGTACGTCATCTGGGATTAAAATACTTTGCCGCTTTGCTGGCCTCCTTCTTCCGATTCCCTCGCTGATCGTCCTGGATCACAGGCAAAGATGTGGTAAAAGTCATTCCGCAACGTTGGGCTCATCTTGCGGTAGTTCGGGCCCCGGGAAGCTATCCATGTGTCGTCTTCCACAGTCTTCCTGCCTGATCACTATCAACATCGATAACATAAAACCTGGAATTTCCACCGCTTTCTGGCACATCCCTACAAGGACTGGGCTCTGAGCAAACTGTCGACCACACCTCGTCGTTGAAATCATTTACAAACCTCGTCGTAATGTTGAAGTACAATTCAATGACCGCCAAAACCAGTTTCACCTTCCGATTTCGTCAAGTAAAAGCATTCATGATGTGGGCCATGCAAGCTGCAGTGACATGAAATGATCACCACGCGCAAGCAACCGGGCCGCTGTGCTCGGATATTGTTTAGCCTGTGTATCAAGCCACGTAGGTCCTGAGCTTGGCAAATCCCATGCCCAGCGACAATGGACTAGATAGATCCTGAAACCGTATGGTCATCACACATATTAATCTTGATTGGGTCTATCCCATTACCAGTAACAGTGGATGATGATACTTAGAAAAGGGCTTGTTCCAACATAGTGATAATTTGATAATTGTTTGCCGACTGTTACAGGTAATAGGACAGACCCAACATATTCTCTAATCTGAAGATGACTTGACAGAATGAGGAAACTCACACAGGGACAATCAAAGAGCTTTGCAAAGCATCAGCGGCCAGCAAAACAAGGGGGGCCCCGGGACCCGGGCGCAAGTTTTAAGGTAGGTATCGTTCATATAAATGGGATTGCTATTGTTCCTTTTCAATCTGTTGCTTAGGAAGGTATCGTCGAATTACATGTAAAGAAAACAACTTGTCCATTTCATGTGCTACGATGTGCTACGTAAGATTTGCAGTGGGCTTGCCAATGGTGAGTGTGGAAGCAAGATCTCCAAGAAGCGTTCAGTTCAGAACTGCTACTCAGTCGGGCCGAAAAGGTTCGGAGAGTGAGCGCGAAAAGGTTCGTCGATTGATTGCAAGTTCCCACAACCGGACGTCCTAGCCATGCAAGTGGCAACTGGCTTCCCAAGGCATCCAAACACGATATATGCGGTTGCGGGTATTGCTTGGTATCGTTTTGAGGCATCGCTGTCAGTACTGTGCCATGCCTTGCAGAATATGTGCAAAAAGGAAAGACCAAAGGTATCATAATCTATCTAGTTTCTACTTATGCGAAGGGATTGCTATAGTGTTCAAGGAAGATGAACACTTCCATGTTTTCCGAAAATGTGAGCTCTGACCTTTTGCACTTTGCTCACATGTTTTGATGAACATTATCTTCATCAGGAGTCGGCAGCTACAGTATTGGTTTCAAAGACACGAAAAACACAAAATAGTTTCTTGTTACTACTAGTAAGGCACTTGTTACTAGTAGCTTTTTTGTTTCTATCCAAATGGAGCGACGCACATAATGTTGACCTCATAACAATAAATGCCCCCTGAATAATGCTAAATTTTTCCAAACAAAAATAATAAATGCACCCTAAATAATGCTAAACTTTTTGGGATCTTGTTTTTGAATAATCTATTTTCTTTTCATTTCCTTTCATGTTCCTTTCATTTCTTTCCTTTCCTTCAATCTCCTTTCCTTTCCTTTCATTTCCAATTCAAATCAAGATTTTCTAGGATTTTTCTGGATTTCACATTATTTGGGGCCCGCACTTGATCAAGGGGGGGGGTTTATTGTTTAGAGGCGGACATTAATTACAATACCTTCCGCGCAAAACATTGCCCCCCAGGTCCGCTCCAACACGCCAAACGGTCCTTCAAAACCGGTTCGACTGTAAACCATAAACCGCTTCGGAGTCAGCCCAACTGCCAGGCTCGGCGTCCGGGGCCTATGGCCTATGCGTCCAGGGCAAGAATCCAGGAATGACTTCCGATCCTTCATGTCAGAGTCGGATGCGGCCACGTGTGGATAGTGATTGAGTCCCAGCTGTATGCCATGGGTGCAAAACCAAAGGAGTGCGATCGGCCACGGCGTCCTTGGCTGGGATGGGAGCACTTCATGTTGAGTGGTCTATGGTGTACACCTGCGTGTGTATGTCCAATCATGTGTCAAAGGGTCCGTTGTTCGCTTCCATGATTGTTGGTACTATGGTCAGCAGAACAGAACAAATCAACCGGAAAATGCTCCCTTCAGCAGCACACCGGTCTATTCCTTGTGCGAACTTGCTGGATCACCCCGGTGATCGGTGTGATATTGTCAAAATCACACAAGAATATTGATATATTGTTTAATGTATATATATATATATATATTTGTATAAAATCACATACACAAATATTCTGTTCAGAGGAGAATTTTTTGTACAGTATATTGATGTAAATTGTATACTGATGTTATATATATATATATATGTGTGTGATATTGTTTTCCAGGCTTCCTTTCCGCTGCAGCTGTCACATCCATCAAGAACTTGTTGAGAGCTGCATCCAAAGCATTCTTCGGGACATACTCAGGATACTCCTCATCACTCTCCTCATCTGACGGGGATAGCACCTCAGCAATGTTGACTTTAGGCCTATAAGTACCATACACTTTCGGGTTTTGGCTGGTCCAATTACAGAAAAAACAATGAAGATCAATGAAGAATGTATTTCAGCCCTGAAAAGGAAAAGGTACAGCAAGCTGGGTCAACGGGGAGGTTTCCCCGGAAATCAAACGTTTGCGACCACGGCACAGGGTTCCCCGCGGGGTGAGGGGGGGGTCTGGGGACAGTTTCGTTCGTGTTAGTAGTTGCGCAAGCCGAACTTCACGTTTCTTTGCCGGCGTCGTGATGTTGCATTCGCGGTTACAGAAACTTGACTTTTGCGTTGCGATGCGAAGCTGCAACGAGAGCACGTTGAAGGCCTCGCAGCATTATGGCTACAGGCTGTGAAAATACACAGAGAGGCTGTGCAAGACAGTTGTCCGCCAGCTCCAATGTACAGTGAGCTGGCATGGCTCAATTGGGAAGAGGACTGATGTCGTGGCGCATGGGACTGACTGGTCTTTGGATGGTCTTAAGAATGCACTCAAGTTATCGTCTTGGAGTTAGTGAACTCCAAGACGATAAGTTAAGTGTCCCGAAACCCCAAATACCCTGTAAAACGCATTGTTTTCTGGCCCTCTGCATGTTGCAGTCCGGGCAAACCCCTCCGTTTACTCAGCAACTGTAACTAGACATGTTCAATCATTTCATAGTACTACCATAATCCAGTAAAAATGGTGAGACTAGTTTAAAAGGACTTGGGGCACCGAGAAAATACGGTGAAAGAGCGAATAATATGAGTGAAGGTTCAGCGGAGTGTCCCAACCCAACTGCCCTTGACAAGGCATTTGCATTGACGGAAGCCCACTCGAAACACCACCAAAGACACACGACCGAGTCTGTCCAACTGGCCACATCTGTCTGAACCCTTTCGCCATCAGTCTGTACAGTACCATCCCGCCTGAAATCCCAGTCTGGTCAATGCTGGTCGGATCTTCACTCGATCAATGCTCGCCCCCTTCAAGTCATGGAAATTGTCGAACTTCGACATGCAAGCAATGAAGGCCCAACGCTCCTCCTCCGCCATGGCGCGTGAGTGAGGCGCCTCGACCGGGAAGCGGCGCGGGACTTCACATATGGCGGAAGCCCAAGCACGCGCAAAAGGCGCGGTCTTGAACACTTTCCCAGACTCGCGGGTGAAAAAGAGGACATCCATGATGAGCAAAGCGATGCAAAGGGGATTCGAGTCTGTGTAACACCCCCATGAGTTCATTTAGAGTTCATGAATGCGGAGACTGTATGCGACTGAACTGAACTTCCTCACCCAAATTCAGGTCGATTCCCCTAAGCCTCAAACGAGCAGGCTCTCTTCATAGAAAACAAGCTTAGGACAGTTTGCCAATACAAACATGTGAAGAACAGTGCATTTTCAAGTTGCGCGTGGTACTCATCTACTCATCTACCTCCAAAATCACTGCTGAGCTCGATATAGGTTGTCGAGGTCTTTCAGCTTTCCCATGAAGCAGCTTGTAATTACCACTTCTACATCTTCTTCTCCATAGCTCTGTTTAACATGTTTAACTTGCAGTGCCCTTCCCACCAAACCCTGGAGCATCGCTCCAGTCCCGACCACGGAACTTCCCATCCAAGCACTCTTGGTGCCACCGGACGTCGGACCGTTCCATGCGAGACGTCGGACGGACCGAGCGCCTGGTCGACCGGATCGGTGGATGGCCATGACCAGATCCACTGAAAAGCCCCATTCCACTGGGTCTGGTGCCGTAATCAGCTCCTTCACCTTGTTGGTCGTCCAAGGGTTTCTGCAGCAGCTCCGGAACAGTGAACCGCGTGGGGCTGGTGGGGCTGGAGTTCAGAAGACGGGCCATGGAAAGGCATCTCTCAATATCTCTATACCCAAACACGACCTGTCTGGGACTGCCATAGGACGGCCGATCAGTTGGGATGGTGCCAGTGTCAGGGGGGGTCAATTAATGTAGGTGATATATGGCAGTCACATGGAGTGTTTGAGATGGATCCACAGTGGGTGATCTCAAACTGACATCACTAGTTGTCGTCGATGTGGGGTTTGATTGGTGACAGCGAGTACCCCGGCGATGACCCTGATGAGACATGGGTGGTGTTGCTTCGGTAATTACCCGGAAGACGGCGCTGGCTGCCTCTCTATATGACCTTCATGTGTGGAGCAGATCTACGGAAGCTCTCATCGTGGGGACCAACAAAAATGACCAAGTTGACAAAGTTGTGTGACCTGACTTGGCCCGGGCAACACTCCAGCTTACGAGATACTGCGAGTATGTACACCCAGATGTGCCTGGTTGATTTAGACAGGACCTTGCAAACATCCACATCACCCCACAGATCTACCTTCTCAGGTTCGGTACGACTGGACCCGACAATGGCGCCTAAAAAACAAGCCGAGTCTCCTATCACCTTGCAAGGTTCGGTACGTGGATCCTTCAGTTCTGTTGACACGAAAACAACACGTCTCTGAACGGTCTGCGCCGGTGCACCGGCAGTGCAAACCCTCGTTTGATCATCGACACCGGGGCTCTGTTTTTCTCCGGGGGTGATGTAGCCTTAGTGACCCCTCCACATCCTTTTTTTCACCTCCGCCCGGGCTCTGTAACTCCTGGGCTCTGCGTGAGAAACTATCAATTCGGACCAAGTGTGATTGCACGTGCCTCTGAAACTCTCAGAACACGACCAGCACCACCCAAAGGGTGGTTTATAGACCCCCCTGAAGATGTATTTTCCATCTAATAACCACCCTTTGGGTGGTGCGGTATGAAACTGTGTAAATTGATGTGCCCCTGAAACCGCAGAGTTTCAGAGAGTATGCTACAGTCATGGTGACCCAGGTTTATCACTTCCGGAGGAAGGGTCAATGAAGGGTCCCTGCAAGCACTCACTTCAATCACCTTCAACCCTCCGGTCAGGAATTCCTCCACCCAATCCCTGACCCACCCCCCTCCTATCTCTCTCACCGCTCTCTTTCGCACCTTGCCACTGGCGATCCTGGAG